CTCCTGGACTCAAATGGAAAGGACAGGGGAATTTAGTCCCGATCTCTCAGTGCTTTACAACAAAACAACCCCCCCCCCACACACACCATGTCCTCTCTGCTGGCACTGCCAAGTATGCGGGCAAGTGGCAAATTGTCTCCTATACATCACCCCAGCAGGGATTCAGGACCCGAGGTCGGACACAGAAATTCAGATAGAGTCCCCAGGCAGCTGAAGCCAGGATCTTACTAATAAAGAAGGGACAAAAGTTGCCCTGTGATCCAAAGAAGTCTGTTCTGAACATCTGGGGTTTACTCGACATCAGTTACAAGGTTGTATTCCTGGGAAGTCTTGGTTGAACGTCCCACACGGCCCAACCACCCACTTTGGAACCTAGGAACTGGTATTGGCCCTGGAAGGTCCCAAATCTTCATAGAGAACCCCTTGGATAGAAATTCAGACCATCGTCCTCGTGTTCTCAAGGTCATCCAGGTCACACGGAGGTTCCCTGGAGCCAGGAGGACAGATGGGCAAAGGAGGATCTGAAAATGGCTCCTGGGTAGAGCACAAACGGAGGTCAGCTGCTGGGTTACTTGGGGCCACTTCAGAGGCCTGGGTTGGGACAATTCCTTGGGTATTTTATACCCCATCCCAAGCATCCCACGAGAACCAATCTACAGGCAGGCTCCTTTTTGCCTCATGAAGGAAGGTGACTTTACTCCCTACCCTGGCCGCCCAGTGCCCAAGTCTCTGCTCTATTTTTCCATCTGTGCAGCGGCAACTAACCACCACCTCCAACAAAGACATGTAACCTGGAAGCACACCTCCGTGGTGGAGAGATCCTCATCCATCCTGGCTTGGTGGCCCATGTGCCAGGTTAACATGAGGATGGGTGTTATGATTGAGATCCTTCTAGTGACACCTCCAGCTCGCCCAGGAAGCTGGACAGGCACCACAAAAGGAGGTTGCATGGACTGTGCCGAACGTGGAACGTGGCGGCTGAGTGTCTGGAGTGCATGGAAGTTTCATGAGTACAGAGGAAAAAGAAGGGCGGGTGATGACAGGAAACTGTGGTGGCAAGCGCATCTAGCAACACTGCACAAGGAGTTGCAGTAAATCTCTGCGGGGGGGGGGGGTGCTGAGAAGGGTAAAGACGAAGTTTTGACCCCTGTACCTCTCCAGAGGCTGGCTTCCTCTAGGAGGCCTGGGACAGGGTGTGGCTAAGCCAAGTGACCTTGTAGACAGAATAAGTAGTAGGCAGGAACTTAGGGACTTAGACCTCCCTTAAGTGACTGAAGACCCTCTTTCTGGTCCTTCTCCAGTCCCCAGGAGTGATCCATTCAGGTTCTACAGCCCTCCTTCTCAGCTGGCTAGAAGGATGGAGCATGGTAGAAATTGGTGGGAGTCTCTCCTATAACATACCACCCCCCCCAACTTGGCAGTATTAGCATTTTGTCCAGTACAGGGAGCTATTTGGCCACCCACACCCACACACAGACACACAGAGCAAAGTCGACAACACTTCTCACCATAGAGTTCACGGGCTCCAAATTCCCCAGAGCTTGACTCAGTCAAAAAATGGTTCTAAAACCATTTGGTAATAACCATTTCCCCCACAGGACCTCCACTTGCCCATACTTTTCCTCTACGTGTCAACCCCCATCCCCGCTAAAAAATCTCTCAGTGGGATGGAGGTACAGTACTGTCTCCAAGGGGACCTGTGTCTGATTTTTCTTGCTTTTCCACTCTTGCTGAAAAATTCCTCCATGTCTGACCTCTCAGCTTTTAAGTCTGACCACGCGGGGGCAGGGCCTGGCCAGGGCCAGGGCCATGGCCTTTCAAGACCCGGAGATCCTGAACCGAAGAGCCACTGCAGCACCTGGGGGTTTCCATGGTCAGAAAGGAGTCAGCCTTAGTTCCCAGCTTCCTCCCCAGGCAGGTCCCCCTCCCCCCAGCTCAGAGGGTGGTGGCCAAGAGCCTAAAAGACTGTGCTATTGCCAATTCCTCACACCTCCACTGGCCAGGGTCAGCTCCCGGCTTCCATCCTAGGCTGATCTAGTCCAATCTGGCCGGAATTCTGTGTCCTCCTAAGCAGAGAGGGGGACCAGAAAGAGGGCTCCAGCAAACTCTAGAACTTCCTAGCAGAAGTCCGGCCTTTCTGCCTGGGGGTGGGGTGGGGTGGGCCCTCTGGCAGCCTCCAAGACTAGAGAAAGAGAAGCCCCACTGGGCTAGAGTAGGGGAAGGGCAGGGTCCCTAAGTAGCAGACAGCCCTTCACTAGCTAGCATCATTGTGTCTTTCCAGGTGTTCTCCAAATTCCTTTTGAGGTTACAGGTGAACAAGGTGACCTTGGGCCCTCTCCAACGGGCAACTCCAGTCACAGGCTAAGCCGATAGGCTACAGACTCCTTCTGTCATACCACCCGGTGGGGGAAAGCAGATACAGGGCCCTCCAAGACCCACCGGAGCTGCAACACTGCCTTAGTCTCCGACGGAAGCTCTTCACCAACACCTCCCGAGCCTAGAACTATAAACGCAGTGGATCTGTGACTCAGTCCCGGTAGAGACTAAGAAAGGGATAAGAGCAAGGCCCTTCTACAACCGGGCCTCCATCAGTGCAGCCAGCTGGGTGCAGGGCTAGGCACCCAAAGCTGTGAGGTCCTCAGAGACATTTGAATCTCGGCAGGGAAGTGACCCACTGGTAGTCGGAAGGCTCTGCATGCACAGTGCTGCCGCCTGCTCGGGTTTTTTTTCCCCCTAAGGGTAGTTCGGGCCCAGCGGCACTCTCCATTGGATGGGAGGTTCTATAGGAAGGACTCTCTGGAGACTGTCGTTTTAACGGGGCTGGGGTTCGGTGTGCAGATTTCAGTACTAGAAGACGGGTTTTCACTGCACAACAAAGAGGGGGTGAGGATGGTGAGAAGCCCCACCTGGGAGGCAGAAACACCCAAATGGCGCCTTCCCCTGCTAAGGCTCAGGTGACACCGTGACAGATCTGAATCTTGTTGCCTGGAGGGACCCTGGTATTCGGGAAGGGCGCCCAGGGCAGTGACCCAGCCCCAGCAGCGCATCGGTTTGTTTCCAATTCCAACTCAGATTGTAACCATATTCTCAGGAGGAATCCACATTCACCCCATTAGGCCTCTTAGTTGGGGCCACCCTGCGCTTGCCCTGCCAGGCCCCTTGCCTGCCTGAGCTCCGGGCTTGAAAGCTGCAGGGTCAGAAGCGCCAGATCTTTTCTAGCCCGCACTCCTCCACCTGTGCCTCGGGTTCTCCAGACCAGGACGCACCTGGGCCGGGAGAAGCCGAAGGGAAGTGTCCGGAAAGGACCCCGGCTCCCGAAAGTGGCCTAGCTCCGGCGCTTCCGCACTCGGTACTCACCTGGGGGCCGCGGTAGCAGCCCAACGGGGCGCGGAGACCGGAGCGCACGGGCCCACCCCGGAGACGGAGGT